ATTCTTTATTCCTTCATCTCTATCCCTTCATCTTTCTTAAAAATTTTATAACGTGTATTGCTGGCAAACTAGGTTAAGGGAGTAAGCTGGTACAACAACAACAACAACTGCTGCACTCTCGCACTTGGAATGCCGCCCTCTGGGCTGCGGTTACGCGCTCATCCAGCTTTCTACTTCCTCCTTCCTACTTTCCACTAGTTATCTACAGAATACACTACTGTCCGCATCTGGCGTCCGACTTCTCTTCCCTTACGGAATCAGGCTTGGAGATCAAAGCGACAGGTGTCTTCCCTATTAATTTAAGCCACTGCGATATTGGTGACCGCGACGTGATATAAGCAACCGACTTTCTTTGCTCTTGGTTTTAGTAAATGATAAAACATATATAATACTGGCTGTCCGTTGGCAGTTGACGAAGATTACGCGGTTCTCCCACCAGAGCCTGTGGTTCTCGGATCAACTATTTGCATAAACTTTTGGCTTAGTTCTGGCTGCTCCATTCTAAGTCAATGATTACTTTATGTGGAGTCTAAAAAGCGGAAAGTTCAAAATTGGAAATCTTTCCAACGGAAACCTGTAGAACGCTAAGGAACCCACTGATGAGCCGAACCTCTCGCAGCTGCGTCATGCAGTGGCAGAAGCACTTGTCTGGCCTTTTCGGTAGTAGTTGCGCTGTCAGAGTGATAAATCAAACTGCACAGGCATTGGTTTTGCCTAATAATTCTGTCTGGGGCTTCCTCTTTGCTACCTTGCCCCTCCACACTGGTTTTGCGTTAGAACCACAGCGATGCCACATTAGGGTCCGGCCCGGGTTAATCGGACCTTCCCCATGGGAAATTTAGTTGCACGCCCAAGCGCAGTTTCACGCCGCACCGGATACAGGCGCCCAATAACAGTATCAGATAGCTGACAGCATAATGCATAGGATAGGGAAAAGTGAGTGAGGTCGAATCTGATATTTCCTTCAAAGTGATGGCGTAACTCGGCCTTCTCACGACGGAAGACTCCTTTTTATAGTAGCCTCCATGGCCCTCCCGTTCAGCTGCGATCTGATCCACCTTCCTCCCCCCATTTATTTTTGTATGAAAACGTATCCTGTCTTGTCTGTACCAGACGCAACATTTCAAGAAAAACTTATTTTTTCAATTTTAATGTCCTTAAATCTTCTTAGGTTTGGAATATACTGGCCAGTTATATTTATTTAGTTAATAATCAATGTTATCGCTTTTGCACTTTGATAAAAAGACGTCAGACGTTCGAATTGCTCCAGAGTATCTTTTCAAAAAACGCCTTCGTTGTGTTTTATTGAACTGATGCCGTAACGAACACCACATAGCAATATACGCGTTTATATGCATCTTCAATTGCAATAGCCGTTTTCTTCAGATTGTAACCTTCCGTTTGCTGGTTTTCTGCAGTACGACGAACCCCTCGTTATATTTGTTACTGACAGTTCATGTCATTTAAATTATTTTAAATATAAGCGCAAAAAATTAACTGCTGTTCCGCAACTACTGTTTTTTAGGTTGGTAGTTTGAGTATCCTTCATTGTATTCGCCGGTCACTTAACTCCATGTCATGCGCCTAATTATTACTGAAATCGGAAGAGTAGTTGGCGAGCGTACGTTGGCCTTCGATAAATTATCGTCGGGCCAGTAAATTTTATAATGGAACGGGGTACAAGCTAAAACGTGTTCGTCTTTTCGTGCAAGTGAGTCGGGGGTATATGGGGGAGGGGTCGATAAGAGAAGGCCTGCTTAAGATGCCAGGGTTTGGTGGAGCCAGTTTAGAAAAGGGGGGAGGAGAAGGAGACAAATGAAACGTGGAGCCTTCTTAATCAGCCTTCTCTTATCGATCCCCCCCCTCTATACCCCGACTCACTTGTACGAAAAGACGAACACGTTTTAGCTTGTACTCCGTGCCAATATCAATGTACTGGCCCGACGAGAATTTATCGAAGGCCTACGTACGCTCGCTAACTACTCTTCTGAACTATCTGATGGGAATCTTCGCAACAATTTCGGAATTTTTTTCCTGCCTATCTGGTCAAATCATTCTTGTCAAAACTTTCCTCATGAGTATCTGCTTATGTTTTTTTAGGAGTTCTACGGTATGCAGGATATCGGTAGTTGCATTCGAACCTACGAACTGGCCTTCGATAAACTGCCCTACATTTGTTCTTCCAGAGGTAAGACCTGCACTTCTGCCTCTCCCTAAGTTCATGCCTACAAATCTATTAATTTGGTCCAGTTGTGAAAAATTTGGAGGAATTCTAACCCACTATTTACACTTATTCCCAATCTCCGCATGCCCCAGTTACTCGCTAATAAAAGCGTCTGTTTATTGACGATTTGTTTAAAACTGTGAACTACTTACATGTTGCAAATAGTATGATTACATGCATTTAAGTACGTCTTGGAGAGTTCATCCCGCAATTAAAAGACCACCTGGTTTTGACTTATCTTTCGAAAATTTTACGTAGATTGATCCGATTTTTTGCAACCAGGAGTAAAACGGGATCCATTTTAGTATGGAAGAGATGTTGTCAAAAATGTTTTAGTGTGGTGTCATGGTTTACTTATGGTCACAAAATGGCTGTCCCGCCAATAAGTATGACACAATATTAACGTTAGGTTGTGTTGAAAATGCTTGCTACAACCGCATAATGCGGTGGTGGCGGCCTAATGAAACACACTTATTCCTATATCTTTTCTTTCAACTTTATCCTCACAGATCAATTACGCGTCATCCAACTCCTCGAGGAGGCTGAGCGGCCTGAGGAGACGCTTCGGGTATATTTTTTGAATTCGCTTTTGCTCTTTTGTGCCCCTCTCACCTGACTTTCTTCCAAGCGGTCATTTTTTTCGCATTGTCAGTTTCCCGGGTGAAGGCTTATTTTTGTACATGTTCTTGTCCTTCTTAAATCACTTTTGTGTAACGGAGAGCAGTTTTTATATTATTCCGAGCTTTCCAACCCGTGCGGGATTTCATCGTCAGAAATAATAGCATCAACAGGGAAAAAGGAACGATGATAGGGAATGTAAACCAAATAACTATCAGCGACGCACGCCCAGAGGTAATTGTGCAGGGCTCTGTGCGCCGGCGCCAAATCGATACATCTCTTGCCTGAGTTGCTTTCCGTGTACCAGGGCTCAGTCAGTTCTCGACTCGTCTTTTGCCGGCGTGGGCTTGACAGATGCGACGTTGAATTAATGGTCTGTTTTATAGATGTGGGCAATGTCGAAAATGCACACAATAGACTATCGTTTCCCAAAGGACTACTTCTATCGAATTATACTTCCTGGGATGCCGATTTTCTAATACTTCTTTTCCAATTTTCCTCACCTATGCAAACACCTGGGATGCAAATCTTGGCATTCATTCGTAGCTCACTTTTGAAATAGTAATTTATTTCATGGAAAGGCATCCAGATGACTATATAACTGTATCAGCACTTTGAAATGCTAACTGTTGTTTGTAACTTTCTCTTAGTCTGATGACGAACTGGGGATCCAGGTGTCAAAAATTTACGCAATAAACTACCTATATCCTTTGCCTTTCCATGAAATTACATTTCTTGGGATGCCTGCCTTTCGGTTTATACGAAGTTATTTATTTTGCCTATGTAGTTCACCGTTTTCCGTTAGAAGGTTGGGTAAATATTTGTGACGACCTGGCTTCATCTCAAATGTTCTTTCCGTTGACTAAATTCTGACACCATCATGCTCCTTCCATGTTAGTTTAAACTTTTTGGATCATTGATGAGAGGACGATGACCCCTGGATTCGGTTTTGGAAAATTTAATCCTTTCTGACCATAAAGTCCGGATTCGAAGCTCAGGTCCTGCCATAGCATGCTTAAGGCATACTCGTTCGACTTGTATGAGATTGCGCGCGGAGGCTTACATTTGTCCATTTTTTACTACATTACTTATTAGTCGTACTTATTTCGTCTAAGTAACTGTCATTTTTCCATGTTTTTCGTAGTTCTTCCTGAAGTACTGGGGTGCCTCCCTACTCACAGCTGATGGCAAGACAGTCTCCCCCTACAAGATTCCCTCCAACGCTTCAGTCGTAGCGACGGTCGAGCGGTGCGTCGTCTTCTCCAACTGAAATTTTCGTTCGGTTTTATTCAACTTCCTGACGCCC